GTTCAGTAAATTATAAATCCAGATTGCAAACTCTCCATCTACTGCCCATATGTTACTGGCATGAATACCTTGATATGATTCATTTCTTCAAAGTAATTCATGGCATTACCAGCTCGTCCTTTGCCTTGCACGCCAAGACAACAAGATATACAAGATCGTCCACTAACACGAAAGGTGTAAAGTACGAAGTCCCGCGGTGCAAAACAACAACCTACCAAAGATCATACTGGATAAGAACCATCAGAACATGGAACACATTAACGGTCATACTTGACTTGAGTATGGAGAACTTCAACACATTCAAGTCTGTAATGCGAGAGTACTACCATACTGCATTAACGAACACATACGATTGTGATGATGTACGAACTTTTAAAACGATTTGCTCGAAATGCAATAGAGCAAGGACTTTAACGAACTCGATGAACTGTTGTTTTTAGTCTCTATGGTTTAATTGATATTTGTGTTATTGATATTTGTCTCTTAACGTTTTGGGCCCGCAGTAATTGGTTTCAGGCTGTTGCGGATACCCAACCATCAACTCAGTTTATGTCATTGTGTTATGTATGTATATGTGTGTATGTGTGTGTGTGTGTTTCTGTACAGTAGTGATGGAAAAGCAATTAAATTAAAAATTAAATTAAGCTAGCTGGCTTCGAACGATAGTCAAGTACAGTATCTTTCGAACTCTTTTATCGTGAATGTCCGACGCTGTTCTCTTGACAAAACCCAGCATTTTGTTAGCTTTTGAGGATAAGTCCTGCACGTGCTGGTTCCACTTCAGTTTGGTGATACTTACGCCAAGATCTTTTACACAGGTTAAAGGTTTGACTGGGATGTCAACTAATGTGTACTGGTTGATAGTAGGTTGGAGACAAGGAGTAAATTGAAGAACTCCGTACTTGGATTTATTTAAATCCATCCTCCAGTCTTGACACCAGTTCGTAATATTGTTAAGATCTGATTGTAGGATTTCTCTGTCTTGGGGGTTACGAACAGCGCGATGACATTTAGTATCATCAGCAAACATTGATACGGCAGTACCTTGGGAGACGCTATCGGGAAGATCGTAGATTAGAAAGAGGATTGGTCCAAGACTTGATCCTTGGGGAACGCCGGATAGTACTGGGAGCGGCTGAGATGTAACACCATGTACAGTGACTCTTAGAAAACGCCCAGAAAGATAATTTTAACCAACGAAGAAGATTACCTTTGATGCCAAAGTTATGGAGTTTCACAAGTAAAAGATCATGACTTACTTTGTCAAATGCTTTCGCGAAGTCGAGGTAAATCGTGTCAACTTGGCATCTTTTTTCAAGCATTTTATGAATGTTGTGAAAAACATGTAAAAGCTGGGAAGTAGTAGACTTGCCTCTTTGGAAACCATACTGTAACTCATTCAGTTTGCTGGAAATATGATCTATAAGTCTATTGTAGATGCACCGTTCAAATACCTTCGAGACTAACGACAGAAGTGAAATTGGTCTATAATTGGAAACTTCATGAAGTGGACTTTTCTTTGGGATTGAACAAACATTAGACAACCTCCATTCTGACGGAAGTTGACCAGACGATAAACTTTTGTTGAAAAGTTCACATAATAACGGAGCTATACTAGCCGCGCAGTTTTTTAGTAATACAGCTGGGATGTTGTGATCAGGACCAGTTGCTTTCTCTTCGTCAAGATTTCGAAATACATAACGAACTTCTCCTTCGGTTAGAGTAAGATCTGAGATGGTGGTTAGATCGATGATGTCATTTTCAAAATCAACAGAGAAGAGTTGGTTGTGAGTAAGGTCGGGAGATTGAAACACCGAGTAGAAGTAGCGATTTAGCATATCAGCAATATCAACTGGGTTGTCAGCAGTCGAAGACGTTGAATCTTGAATGGACCATGACATTTTAGCAAGGATATTGGAGTGATTTGAGGTGGATTTAAATAGTGACCAGAACTTTTTGCTATTGGACTTTAACAAAGATGGAAGTTTTTGAAAATACTCCGTACATTTAGCTTGTATTAACGTTTTGGCTGATCTTCGAAGTTCGTGGAACTTTTCCCAAAGTCTAGGAGATGCGTCGCGTTTAGCCCGTTTTCTGCACTTATCTTTCTTCGAGAGAATACGTTTAACTTCACCGTCAATCCATGGAGGTGAGTTGCTCCTTTTGAACGATTTTAATAGAATATATTCAGTAGCAACTCTGAGAAAGAGACCTTTCCATCGCTCCCAATCGGTGTTGACGTCAGTTGACTGGTTAGAAGGAAAAGTAGTGTGATTGACTAGTGCATTTCGTAGACCGTCCCAATCAGCAAGTTTGATTTTTGAGATAAATGACGGGTTATTTTTTATTCAAGAATCCTCAAAACCTTCAATAAGATAAAGCGGCTGCTACGCAGGCTAGGCTTCGTGTTGTCACGCTGGCTAACACAGATTGATTGATTATGTTAACCACCAAACCAAGTTTGGTGAATTTCTTGCATGATGCACAATAGTGGCACTCGTTACAATACACACACTTTATATTGTCTGGTGCAACACTCTTCACTCCAGTCGTAAATGCTACTGCTGATGGATGTCGGTTCTTTCGTTACCCTCCGGACTCGTATCGTCGATGACTTTCATTGGTTTTCACTGCATTGCTCGCCTCTCGTTCCTCCACTTCGACGTTGATAATTTCAAGCAGTTCATTATTTTCCCGCTGCGCCTTAATATAATTGTTAGATAATATAATTAAGATAATTAAACTTTCAACGTCAGCAATATCCTCATTGTTGTATTAAATAGCCGATTGAAAAGAATCTCAAAATATTGCCCAGATTATAATGTTTCCCTTAAATTTTGGTAGAGTACGCTTCGGCAAACGTGTTCGTGTATCAGAGCTCATAGTCAACAGTCGAATTACTAGTCACATTGTTAACTTTATAACAGTACCTTAACCTTGATCCCCCACATCTTGTTGCAACGAACATTGCATGCTCTTGTGTTATATAAATAGGATTTTTTAAGAACAAGTACTTTCCCGATTTCTTGTTGCAAATTAAATTTTTATCAGAAAATATGGAGAAGGCGCAGCCAGCTTGAGACATCATAAATTTGGTAAACACGTTCTCTGACTGATTATCATTTATTAAACGAGCTTTTTATAACCTTACTATGGTCTTCAACAGGTAGAAATGAGGCAAAAAAAATATTTTTATCGCCCGAAACTAAAACACATAAGTTGCGATTTTCCAAACTCGACAAACGCACTCCTCTACCACCCTACCCATATACGCAAAATCTGCGTGTCAGTGACCAGCCCCAGCCAGCCTTAACTTACCTTTACCTTACCTATATTTAAATAGTGCCAAACTTATCTGTGACGCCACTCAATCCAACAGCTATCGAAAACAGCTCTATTACTTTTTCTTGTTACTGTGGGTGTTCAATCCGATCATATTGGTTCAAAAATAGTCAGTCAATACACTACGATGGACCTGGATCTCCATACAAATTGTTGGCAAATGGAAGTTTACACGTCAATGTTTCCAGATATACAGCCGGAAACTATAGCTGCGAAATAAGAACATATTCTTTGAGTGTGAGATCAAAGCAAGTTACGCTACAAGTATGGTGTAAGTATATATATGTTATAAAATATGAAATTCATGCTACATATCAATTGCGTAATGCTATGGAATTGATTACCGTTGGTTTCAATGCCGTAGCATGTCTAGGATACAAGCAATCGGAAATTCTAGCGCTCAGACAACACAGACCGCGTTGAAATTAGCAAAAATATGTTCATAAACGTCTTGTATTTCTCCGTTGCCGCATAAAACTTAATGTGCGGATAGAGCTTTAAGGTTACAGAACACCTTTGAGTGTTAATTTTGCCTAAAATTTTTTTATTGGTTTCCATCAAAGCATTAGACTGGTCCTACTATCTGACAAAAGTTTGAATGAAAAATGTTGAAAACTCGCAGAGTTATTTAATAAAATACATTTTGCTGCATAGAGGAAACATATTGAAAATGTAATATTCAAATTCAATTTTCTCCCGAAACATTTTACGGCAATTACTGATTTTCAAACGAGTTATTCTCCTGCGGGTTTTAACGAATTTTCTCAAATTTTCACAGGATATAGCTGAAGACGTCAGTTGCAAAATTCTGTTCGGCTTTGTGCTAATTTTGGATATTTTAATTATAAGGAGCAATTCTCTCAAACGATTCAGAAATATATTGCAGTCGTCAAAGAAATCGCCATATCAGCGGAATGACGAAATAAACAAAAATTTCCGAACACATTTTTTTAGAACAACTATTTTACTGTATAAAAATGATATTTTCATAAATATATCTTAAAATCAGCAGGAACACAACTCAAAAGGGTAAAGGTAGCGCGATTTAAGATTTTCCTGAATAATTCTTACATTATTTTATTGTTTGTCAATTTTACAACTTTACCATATTTTGCACGCACTGGCTAACATTTGGTTAAAATTTGATGAAAATCGGACTGATATTGAGCGCGCAGTAGATTTTCCGCAAAACGCCAAAAAGGGTGTCCTGTAATCTTAATATTACGGTGATTGGAATATTAGTTTTGAGATGGATTATGAGCAAGCGAAGTTATATATGTGCCAAAGAATACGTCCATACATTTCATGTTTGTATGATCAACTTCCGGTATAGTCTTTATTATACAATCGAAATAAATCAACGGAGCAATGCATGGGCAAGTGCTTCTGACGTGTGAACTAATTGTTCGTTAAAAATTACGAAGCATGCTATATATGCTACACAGTTTTGTCAAATCGTATTTTTGACACACGGGTATCGAAAATTGTGGGACGAGTGCATGCACTAGGTTTTTGCTTTCATTAAATGATTGGTGTAGGCTACTAATGAATTAAACTCAAAATTACTACAGTATGTATGGCCAACTCTTTTGTGGAATATGTTTCGTTACGACACAATTTATTTTATGATTCTAGATTTAGATGGTTGTTATATAACAGGTGATCAGAAGATTTATGAAGGACAAAACATAAGCTTGACCTGTGATGCAAATGGCTATCCGTATCCTACATTTACCTGGTATTTACAAGGACAGCAACTTAGGACAAGTTCTCGGATAAGAATACAGGGAAGCCAGTTAAACATTTTCAATGCTACGTCATATGATGATGGGGAATATAAATGCGTCGCTTCTAACCAAGCCGGCCAGGTCTCGCATGGAGTTGACGTTGCAGTAAGAGGTTAGTGAAATATGTGTGCATTATAACTTACAATTTATAAGTCACAGAGAAATTGTGGCTGTTGCTGTTCAATTCGAAATCTTATTAATGTTAGTACTGCAGTTTGCCTGTTTAATTTAATACCGGACGTCCTAGTCCTTGAGTCACGTCCGGTTCACGTAGGGCTGCTACTCCGCATGTTATAATTTTCAACAATCTGCTGCGTGCCAATCGCTGAATGTTTTAATCACTGAATTATAAAATACAGTATAGTTATCGATAAAACGACTTAATTTCTTCTTATTTATAAAACCAGGATTCAAAGTACATGGCGCAAAGTATTATATACCACAAAGAGATTTTCGTGTGTTTATTGATTTGATTGGCTATATTCAAGAAATTTCAAGTCAACGACAGCTATTAATATTACCATGATTGGAATCTTACTTGGCGAAATATCATGTATAAAATATTTACTTGACAAACTGCAACAACTATATACAGCAGAAAAACTTGATAAACAACAACTACAGCAGATATGTTTTTATACAGTTGAAGTAAGCCCTTTCTAATAAGTCATTTCAATTGTTTTCTTTATACCAGATTTTCCTCCGGTTGACATTTCGACAAATACACGGAAATATATTGTAGTCGGTACAGAAATTCGCTTCAGGTGTCATGGAATAGATCAATTTTATATTCGTCACATTCAGCGGAAGATGGAGCTGGTCAAAGGCGAAATTACTTTATATGAATGGCGGCGGTTGTGGAATAATTCAATCACGCCAACATATCATGCAAGACAAAACTACACGGGAAGATATCGGTGCAAAGCAACTATTGGTGCAGCATCGAGATACTCTCCACCTTTATATTTAATAGTCGGAAGTAAGTACAGTATTTTATATCAGTTTCACTTTAGTTAATTTATAAATTAAAACACACAGTCTAGCTGTTCAGCGGGATGTGTATTGAACCGGAAGTAACTGGACAAGAAAACCTTAAGATCTAAGAGCTAACATTGCCATTCAGTTAAACAAACAAACAAACCTACTAGATAAAGATATAACTATTTTGCCAAGGTAACTGCAAGATTGTTGATTGGCAACGTCAGCTGATTTCTATACTGTACTAATATAGCCTGTAGATAAGAGTGTGGTTTGAAAAGTAATTTTGAAAAAAACAACGTTTCTTTCGTTTGGGTGATTGTCACAAGCAAAAGAAATATTGATTTACGTATTAATTCTTCTGGCACCGAATTTCATTCAAATTCGAATCAATCAGATTCGATTCAAATAGATCACTCAATCAGAATCGAACTTTTTATCGTTGTATACTACTGGCTGCTAAATTGAATTATACTTTATATAGTTCCTTCTGGGCCTGTCGTTTTGGAAAAGAAACCGGAAACTAGTACAACTGGAATCAAACTTTCATGGAAACCTGTTTCAAATAAGTTTTGGAATGGAGAGCAAGTGACGTTTGAAGTAAATGTTTCTTCAGTGGCTCATGTCTGGCAAAAATCACGTGTAACAAAAGCCACAAGTGCACTTATTTCGGGTCTACTTCCAACAACTACATACATTGTCAGTATAAGAGGAAGGACAGTTTTTGGTTCTTTTCAAAATGTTACCTTATCTGTGGTGAAAACAAAAGAAAGTAAGTTTGATCTAAATTTTTGAAATTTTAATCCTGTTCAGTTAACATGCGTGGACATTGACTAGGAGTTTATTTAGTGAAAATTTGAAATGCTTAGTTTTGTGATCGAATCACTATCCCTCATGTTACAATCACCCATAATGATAGCGAACTTGCATGCAATGTTGTAAGCAGTACGTATATTTTGTAGATAAGAACAGTAAGAAATTCCTGCTTCAAATACGATTAACAAATCATGAATTTTCAAAAAACTTATTGGACACACAATCTAGTCAGTACAAGAACCTCAAAACTAAACTGGAGGACTCGGTAAGAAAACAAAGCAATGCTTTAAAATTTCATTCATTTTCTGTTCATGTTCAAATTATTAACCAATGGGTATTTATCACATGTTGCAATTTGCAAGCTGTGATTTAGTTGAGAATGCGACTATGATCGAGGCAAAAGTTACAGTTGGGATCAATCATACAGAAATTTTATGTTTTAGCTTCGCGATATCTTTAAAAAGTCTGAGGTCAATTATCAATTCATCGACTCACGTGTTTCCCGATTTCTGTAAGTACAATAATAAATTAATTCAGTAAATTAATATTACGGAAATTAAAGTCTGCCTCAGAAGTGATGACTTACAGTATGTCATTATCGTTTTTAGTCAAATAACCATGCTTTATCATTATTTATTAATTACATTCTATATACCATGTCATCGTTCGAAATTTGCTTGGCGCAATCGTCATTAATATTTAATAATTATTCCCCGAAGTGGATGTGAATAGTGCAAAAATATCCTTGCACTATTCATCGACACTGCATGGTGTAAATAATTGTTTTAGCATATACAGTACCACAACAAAACAAAAATGACCAAAAAACGATGAAAATATTTTTAAAACAATTTGTTCTCATGTTCAGCTACCGGTCGTAATACTGAGTTGTAAGCGAAACAGTATTTACACGCTTTCAGTAATTTTATCAATTAGAAATAGCTTAAATGTACTTGTACACACTGTTAAACGAATCTTTGTGGCTTTCTTTGTGTTTGACAAAACCGCAGCTTCGTTTAGTACAAAAATTAGCTCGTCTGTAACTTGAACGAACCGGGAAGCCATTTTGTTTTTGTCCGGCGGTGAATAGTACAAGGATATCCGGAGCAGAGCGACCAATGAAATTGCGTGAAATGCACTATCCACCTCACGAGTATATGCTAAAACGGATTATCATTATCAAACGGTCAATTAAAATTATCTAACAAGTTTCTTGTATGTCAGGTATTTAGTATTAAGTTTTGATTTAAATCAACATTTGTACATATATACTATTAATTTATTTATTAATGAAAAAATATATATGTAAACATACATGACATAGGACTAAAAAAAATTAAGAAAAATGGAGTAACAAGTTGACTATTCATTCGGTCATCGACAACTCGCAGTGGCGGAAATTCACTTTTTCCGGGGGGGGGGGGGG